TTTCTATAGAGAAGTGTATGTCGTGCTATTTTTTATAATGATGTACCAATCTACCTTCCAATCAACAGCACAGCAGTTCCCCTTTCTCCACAAACTTGCCATTGGTTATCTTTTGACTTTTTGATTGACTATAATCCTTAAAAAATGTGCAGTGATACCTCCTAGTGGTTTTGATTTGTGTTTCCCAGATACTTAGTTGTCCATGTATATTTGAACTTATTTTTGTGCTCCTCTCTGTTCTGTGCCACTGGCCTGTTTATCCCTCTTATTTATTTATTTATTTATTTTTATTTATTTATTTATTTTTTTTTTTGCAGTTTTTGGCCGGGGCCAGGTGTGAACCCACCACCTCCAGTACATGGGGCTGGCGCCCTACTCCTTTGAGTGACAGGCACCGCCCTGTATCCCTCTTTTTTCATGCCAGTAACCTGTTGTTTTGATAACTATAGCTCTGAAATATAATTTTCATTCAGGACAAATGATGCCTCTGACTTTGTTTTTCTTTCTCTGCATTGTTGTGGCTATTTTGAGTCTTTCATGTGAATTTTTGGCTTTTTCCTAGGTATGTGAAGAATTCTGTTGGGATTTGGAGGGATTTCATTGGATCTGTATATCACTTCATATTCTAAAGACATTTTAATACCATTCATTTTTCCAATCCCGGATCATGAGATATCTTTCCATTTATGTGTATCTTCATCAATTTCTTTCATCAATATTTTAGTTTCCAATGCTTGGATCTTTCATCTCTGTAGGTAAACTTATTCCTAGGCATTTTATATTTTGATGCTATTGTACTATGCATATGGCATTTTTTTAATTTCTGTTCAGTCAGGTCATTATTTGTACACAAAACACTACTGATTTTTGTCTGTTGATTTTGTGCTTTCAAATTTACTGAATTCTTTTCTTAGCTCTAACAGGACTTTTTGAGGACTCTGAGAATTTTTAGGCATAGGATTGCATCATCTGTAAGCAGGGATAATTTTACTTTTGCTTCTTCACGTGGCGATAACTTTAGTTCTTTTCCTTGTTTGATTGTTCTTGCTATTATATCTAGCACTACCCGAATGGAAGTGGTGAGAGTGGGCAACTTTGTCTTTCACCAGATCTTAGCAGAAAAACTTTCCACTTTCTCAGTTAGAGTTTAGCTGTGGGTTTTTCAAAAGTGACCATTATTATTGTAAACTTTGCTCCTGTACTTAAATTGTTCAGAGTTTTTGTGTTGTTTTTTTTTTTAATCAAGAAAGGATGTTGGACTTTGTCAAATGCCAATCACACTATTTGCTCTTTTATCCTGTTAATGGGATATATTATGTATGTTAAACCAGGATTAATATCAAGGATAAATACCACTGGATCGTGATGTATAATCTTTGTGATATAATATTGGATTTAGCTTGCTAATATTTCACTAAGGATTTTTGCATCAGTGTTCATCACAGAAATTGGCCTATGGTTTTCTTTATGTGTTATTGTTGTTTGGCTTATGTCTGAAGTTGATGCTGAGATCATAAAATGTGCTTGCAGGCATCCCTGCTGGTTTTCCTTTTTTTTCAGATAAATGTAATAAGTACTGCTAGTAATTCTTCTTTGAATATTTGGTAAAATTCAGCTGTAAAGCCATCTGGTCTGGTTTTCTTTTTCTGGTAGGTTTGTGATTACTAGTATTTGTTTATTCATTTTTTTGCCTGGCTGATCTCTTCATGGTTGAAAATTGAATACTGAAATCCACTATTATTGTTTTATTGATATCTATTTCTCCCTTTATATTCATTAACATTTGACATATGTATGTCGGTACTTTAATGTTGGATGTACATATATAATATTTACAACAGTTATTCGTCTGGATGAATTGACCTCTTTATCATTAATAATGACCTTCTCTGTCTCTTGTAAAGCTTCAGAGTTGAAGTCTATTTTACCATAAACATAAGCATAGCCACCTCTGCTCTCTTTTGGATATGACTCACTTGGAATATCTTCTTTGTTCATTTCACTTTCAACCTATGTGTGTCCTTAAATCTTAAGTGAATCACTTGCAGGAGGAATATACTTGGATCTTATTTTTATATCCACTCAACCACTCTATGTCTTTTTTTTTTTTTTTTTTTTTTTTTTTTTGAGACAGAGCCTCATGCCGTCCCCCTGGGTAGAGTGCAGTGGCATCACAGCTCATAGCAACCTCCAACTCCTGGGCTAAAGTGAGAGTCCTGCCTCAGCCTCCCAAGTAGCTAGGACCACAGGTGCCCGCCACAATGCCCGGCTATTTTTTGGTTGCAGCCTTCATTGTTATTTGGTGGGCCTGGGCTGGATTCGAACCTGTCAGCTCAGGTGTATGTGGCTGGCGCCTTAGCCACTTGAGCCACAGGTGCCGAGCCTCACTCTATGTCTTTTGATTGAAGAATTTAATCCATTCCTATTAAAGATTATTACTGGTAGGTAAACACTTACAACTGACATTTTATTATTTCTTTTGTGGTTATTTTGCAGCCTGTTTCCCCTTTCTTCCTCTCTTCATGGTTTTATAGTTTTTCAGGTAATGCTAAGCTTTGGTTCCCTACTTTTTATTATCTGTATATCTGCAGTAAGTTATTATATTGTGGTTGCCATGAGGCTTACATAAAACATCTTAGAGATATAATTCAATATTTTGAGCTGATAAAAACTTAACTTTTGTTACAGAGAGACTTTGTTGAGATGCCAGAGAAAAACTGGAGACACTTATTCTGTCCTCCATATACAATTATGTTTTTGCACTGTGTTTATGTTTTCCATGTCACGATTTATATCTTTTTATATTATGCATTGGTTACTTTTGATTGTTTTGATTTTCATCATGGAGGATCTGTATAATTTAGACACCACCATTATAATATTGGGGTATCTTAAATTAGATTATGTAAGTACCTCGACAAGGGAGTTTTATACTTTTCTATATATTCATGATCATAATTATCATCCTCTGTTTCCACTTAGCCATTTCTTGTAAGGTGAATGTAATGGTAATAAATTTCCTTAGCTTTATTAGTCTGTGAAAGGCTTTATTTCTCCTTCGTTTCTGAAGGGCAGATTTGCTGGGCATAGTATTGCTGTCTGGCAGGTGTTTTTCCTTTTCTTTCTGCACCATCTGTTTTCTCTTGACCTCAAGGTTCAGTAAAGAAATCCACTAATAGTCCAATTGAGATTCCTGTATCGTGTCACTTGATGATTTTCTCTTGCTCCTTTTAAATCTTTCTCTGTTTTTGTCTTTTGACATTTTGATTATAATGTGCTTCAGAATGAGCATATTATGGTTAAATACATAGAGAAACTTTTGAGTTTGGGGATGTGGATGTCTGTATCTCTCTCCAAACTTAGCGATTGTTCCACCGTCATTTCATTTCAGTAAATAAGCCTTGGTCCTCTCCTCTGTCTCCCTCTCACATAAAGTACCATGAGGGTTTGTTCACTCACTGAGTCCCATATGCCCTCCAGGCTGTCTTTACTCTGTCCTTCATTCCCCCCTCACCATCGTATCAAAAGACCTATTGCCAAATTCAAAGTTTCTTTTTTCTTCTGCTTCATCTAGTCTTCTGTAGAAGGTCTCAATTGTATTTTATTATTTAAGTGAATGGATGATTCTTCTCATTCAGATCACAAATTATTTTTTATTTCATTAAATTATCTATTTGTATTCTCTGTTTCCTTAAAATTATTATTTAGAGTTATTTTTCAAGAAATTCATACATTTCTGTTTCTTTATGGCAAGTCTGAGAGAATTATTGTGTCCTTTTGATGATGTTTTCTGTTGTTATTTTTGTTTAATGTTCCCTGTGTTCCCTGAGTTGATGTTCGTTATGTGGTTGTGCAGCCACGTCTTGCAAACTTTATAGTGTGGCTATCAAGGGGAAAAACTTTCACCTGCGGATGGGCCTGATAGACTGCCACACTGTACTGTAGTATCTATGTAGCTTCTTAAGTTGTGATCAATGTTAGTGATGACTGCAGATGCCTCAGCAATCTAGGCTGCAGGAATCTGTGACAGTGACACTGGCTGTGTGGGTTATTAGGACATGGGCTTTGGAGAACATATTGTGCTTGTCTTTCTCAAAGAGAGTTTTAGATGTGTAGCTTTTCCTTGGCATAGGTCTAAAACAGTTCACAGGCAGCCACAATGACACTGGGATCCAGAACATTCTATGGTTTTTTTTTGTTTGTTTGTTTCTTTAAAACACAGCAACATAAAATTCAAATACTCTGGTATTTAACTTAAAAAAAATTAAACCACCTTAATTCAAGCCTATTTTTTGACTTGGAAAAAAAACTACTAAATCTCTTATTTTATGATAAGATAATGATAGCAATGACTTACTTCAGAGAGGTTCAATGAGAAATGATTTTGGAAATTGCTTTAGAGATACAAATTGAAATAATTATCTTTGAAGGTGCATAACATTACACAAATATGTGTGTCAATAAACATCACAAAAATATCACAACATCACAAAACATTACAAAAAGTTCTCAAAACACATTATGATAAAACAAGAATAAATATTTTCCTTCACTTTTTCAAAAAATCTAATTTGAACTATAATCTTCATATTTTACCTGCATATATAAATTCAAATACTATTTCCCTTCCATTAAACCAATTTTCTGTTTTCAAAAGACAGTAAGATGCTATTATATACGTGTGTGTCTGTCTATATTCATTAGAACTCAAAATCGGCATTTTACTTTTTAAGGGAAACATAAGCAGAGAAAAGGTGAAAAGAAGAATATTTGGGTAATATTGAAACTGAAATAGCTATCATACAGTACTTTTAAAATCTCAGTATAATTAAAATTTTAACAACTTCTAAGCTATATTTTGAAGAGCCATTTTCAGTAACATTCAGAATCTTTTGGCTCTTCCCATTAGAGGTATTACAGTACCAGAAAAAATTAGTCTATGCGGAAGGTCACCCTGACTGCCGTTTCTAACGTAATTTGCACTGAGCACCCAGCTTCACCTTGTCAGAGAGTACTGCTTCCCCAAGGCCGCCCCAGGGTCCTGCTGACGAATCGCTCTAATTGCAGTTGGTGCTGTAAACAAGGCGGCCACTCCGTGCTCGGCCAGCACTCGGAAGTAAGCGCCCGCATCGGGGGTTCCCACCGGCTTCCCCTGCAATGAGATGCATGCAAAATGTCAGGCACTGGGGAAAATGTCTCATATTTCATTGACAGTTCAATATTCACACATTTAACACCACAATATCAATCAGATGGGGCTCTCCATAAATCTTAGTTTTTAAATATTTTCATGTTCTGCCATAAATATGACAGACCCAATCAATACCCAGGCATCGGACAGGCCGTCTGCTCCATCTTAAAAGCATGGAGTCACCGCATCTTAAAAGCTTTCAAATTCCAGATTTTTCTTATTCAAATTTTTAAAGAGCCGGAAAATCATATCATATTCAAGTTAAGAACGCAAAACAGTCTCGTATTTGACGAAATATTTAATACATTATTTTGTATCCCAGGCTATAAAATGTGAAGTATGGTCTCTAAGAATTTCAAACATAATACGTGTCTTTTCAGGATTGCTGTTAAGAGTGAGGATAGCCGTTCTCAAAACATCTAAGAAAAGGGGAAAATCCAAAACCATCGTGACTTCTGAGCAATGACCTTTTCAGTGAGATGTCTCACTCCAAGGAAAGTAACTTCTACAGGTCGAAAATAATCCAATGAGATAAGATAACCCAAAGTGCCTGCTTTTCAGGCTCAAAATGACATTATACGTGTTCACTTGAAGAAAAGATGCAAAAAAATTTAAAAATTTTGGCAATCTATTCAATTAACAACAAAAAGAACTTGTGATTGATGTCTCTGCAAAGTGGAAAATATGAGCACGTTATGGACATCAATCAATAACGTGTCAGAAATTCTACATAGACCATGAAGTTTACCTGGGCTCGGCCCCATCCCTCATTCCATTCTCTGTCCACTACGTCTACTTGTGTTTCTCAAGCAAGGTGCCTAGAATGTTAATGTGCACAGAGTGAAACTATATACACATATTTCAGCCAAAATTCTTTGGGTAGAGGTTGGGCTAAACAAAGGACAGGTTTGTGATCCAGGCACCATTTCCTGAAGCCGTAACAGTATCCGAATACATCAGGAATTTCTAGGATAATGAGTAACTGGGTCATATTTCCTAGACGTCTCTAACCAGATTCTCTGAGTTTCCCCCCAATTTTATAGAACACATGAGGGAACCAATAGACAAAGAAAAAGAGAGGGAAATATTTGCTATTCACAAATTCAGAGACCTCCACAAACAGGGAATAATTAAAGAACGTGTGATAAATGGGAGGCGGATCATAGATGTCCAATAATTTTGATTTAATATCCACTAATTTCGTTTTTGACAAGGCATTCTTTAATTTTTGTTCTAAAATGGTTAGCCTTTATATTTTTTAGTGGAAATGTTTCTCATTTAAAAAAATTACCTCTGTAGGTTTTGTATATTGCTTTCTCCCTTGTTCTTCTAATACCAGAAAGTGTTTGTTTTAACTAGAAATGTATTTTTTATTATCACAACTATCCCAACACTCCTGACTTCCATTTACTCCATTACTGCCTCATACAGGTCAACACATTCAAATAATATTAACACTTGGCAGATACAATCCAGCAGCGCACGCACACAGTTGGACTCACAAATTTTGAAGAACTGAGAGCATCAGTTCAAAATGAATCTGCAACTTTATTCTTTCTAACAAAGCAAAGCGAACCTCTGATTTTTCCTTCTTGGATACGTCTTAGGCACTGGTCAGTCCCTGGAGTATTAGACTGTGACTTGAGAAACTTGATCTCACACACATAAAAATGATCTGTGTACTGACCTCAAGCAATTGACTTGCCCTGTCTATGCTTCCATTATCTCACCGGCTGCATAAGAATAAATCACTTTGCCAATATTTCCTCAATAAGCTAAAAGCACCAAAATAATATCGTAAGATAGTTTGACCTCCAGTGAAGAAAGATATTTTATAGGGAATTGAAATGAAATTCTACTATAGTGCCAGTGTTTTGGGATAATGAAAATGTATTGACGAAGGGTTAGATTAGTGTCAATGAAAATGTTATATTGTGTGTGACTATCTAATAGAGCACACGACATGATGGATTTCACAATGCCTCTAATTATTTATGTTTAATGATAACAATAAGGACAGCTTAATGTTGTTAGACATACAGTCAAGCACCAGATAACAATGTATAGGACAAAAATGAAATACATATAAGACTATATGATTATATTACTTATATTACTATAAGATTATAATGCTGTATTTTTATTTTCCCTTTTCAAAGCTTAGATACATTAGGGTAAATGTTTATACTGTGTTACAATCACCTACACTATTCAGTACAGTAACACACTGTACAGGTGTATAACCTAGGAGCAGGAGGCTATACCATATAACCTTGGTGTGCCGCAGGCTATACGGTCTAGATTTTTGTGTAAGTACATGCTACGATGTTCACACAGTGATGAAACCGTCTGAGAACACATCTCTTAACACACATCCCCACTGTTAAGCAATGCGTAACTGTGTTAGTAAAAATCTTTATCATACTTTTTATAAATAGCATAAGGTTATTATCACTGCTGCAATCCTGACCCTTTGCCAAACAAGTTTCATCAATATGATAACTTTTGAGCATAAAACCATGACCCTATAGACCACAGAGAACAGCAAGGATGTGAAAAACCCTGAGATATTCTTTTGTAAGTTAGTTGAACACAGAAACGTCCCATTGATTCACACTTTACTGTGCATTCTCCAGAAGATAATCCAATGCTATAAATAAAATGCTTCCATGTTTAAGAATTACTTTAACATGTTTATACTTTAATTGTTTTAATTACAAATGCACATATCTTTTTATTTAACAATTCCTCCTGTATAAATTTGTTCTCCAGAAATATCAGCATATTTAAAAAATGACACATCTAGAAGGTTATTCATAGAAGTATCATATATAAGGTTATTCATAGAAGTATTATCTATATTATAAGAGCAAAAGCCTGGAAACCTAAGTGTCCAGTAAGAGAGAATTTGTGAAATAAATTATGAATGTCTACACAATGAGCTACTTTAATTTTTTTATTTTATTAAAACCTATTTGATCTGAAATTTAATTGGAACAGGAATTATATCAAAGAAATTACCTTTTCCAAAAAAGAAATACGGTGATTAACATAAATTTCAAGTCCCGAATGATGTAAACATTTGAGGTAACATAACGCAGCGCAAAACAGGATATTTCGTTGAAAACTACAGTTCCCATTTATTTATCACCTTGTTTAGGTAATTAGTCCCAGCATATATATTCATTTCATATTCTGGGAATAATTCAGGAATAAGCCAGGTAAGATCCAACTGTAATAGAACTTATATTCCCCTAAGTATGAATGTGTTTATGTGTGTTTATGTGAAAGTATTATTAAAAATTACA